ATTTGCAACACTTTGGATGCACAATTTTGCAAATCTATGTACTATTTGTAGACTAAAATAACCAAATCAAACCAGCAAAGTAGGACTGCAGATTCTTAAAAAACACATCATTATTGATAATCAAAAATCTTTTCATGAAGAATAGCTTACTAGCTGCACAGTTTTCCATGTGATGTGTACTAGGAAGTGACTTTGCTTTGCAAAATATGTATGAATATATATAGATATATATCTATATATAGATATATATCAAATCTAAATAAAAATACAACAAGCTCTCTGTTTGCTTAATGAAATATATTTTTACAATTCTATGACAGTTGCAAAAGAAGAATCAAATCACCATTCATTTTTATACAAACATTTTACAGTGATCAAAATACTGTAGCTGTTCTGTTTTTTCACATGTTGGGTAAAAAATACTTCCTATTATTGAGACTCGCAAATAAGCAAAAATATTTATCAGGTACTTGCTTAATATCTCAAAAATATCATCCAATTTCATGTTTCTATTGGTTTCAAAAATGTTATAACTAGATGATTGGCTTAACTCTGTATGAAATGGAACAATTTTAGAACTTAAATGTACAACAAAAGAAAACATGCAGGTATTTATAAAAAGCAAATTGATCCAAGTGACTTTAGCGGAAAAAAAATGTAATACTATAAAAGTTGCAAAAGTATGGCTTTAAGTTAAGCCATACTTCAGGTCCCCAACATGGTAAACAAAAGCTTATAAATAAGACTACTGGGAAATTGTTTTATCCTTGTTTAAAGTTGAAATATATCTGCAAAAATATTAATCATAAATCTTTAAAACATGTTTACAAGCAGAATCAAAAGATGCAGTAATATTTTCTAGTTACTGTAACTTTAACAATAGAAGGGAATGTTCAGAAAATAAATAATATAAATATTTTTTTCTTATAAGGAATAAATTAAAATATCCTTTAAAATGAATACTTTTATGATCAAAAGGTTCTAGCAAATAATATTTTTAGTTCTTGTGCTGCTAGTTGCACTGATTCCGATCGTGAAGTGTAGCTGAAGCAGATATAAAGGCTAATAAATGGATTTTAAACATTAATCTTAGGCTTTTTAAGTCTTTTCAAGCCTCAACTTGTTTGGTAAAACAGCTTTTGTGCATTTTTCATTAAGTAACCTTATTCTGATTAGATTATCCAGATTGGATTTTGCCCTCAGAAAATTAGCAAAATAGATCCTCTGTCAATATAATTCCATATTTGTGTCATTCGCCTTATTCCCGGTTGTGTTGCTGTAGGATGGGTTCTGGGAATAGCATGTCAAGATGCCAAAGGTTTCAGTAAAGCAGGTTTTTTTGGCAGTGGATCAAAGGAACTGGTTTGCAGTTTAGACATTTTTTTTCTGTTCATGTTAATAATGGAAGGATATTTTGGTATAATTATCATGTAATAGTCATCCTCTTGGAAAAGAACATCAGCTATCATTTTAGATTCAGGAAAAGTTTAAATTATGTAGAACCCTTTATGGCTGGTATAAAGCTTTAGCTTTAATCTGCAATTTACCAGAGTTTAGTAAATTTTGGAATTACATAAAAAAGCTAATATGCAAGAAGACTTACTTTTTAACTTTCTGGCAGTAATGCAAAATATAAAAAACAAAGTGGGGTATTGTGCTTAATGAAGAAAAAGAAGCAACTGCATTCAATATTTTCACAACCATATTTAGCAGTGTCATAATTACCTGATACTGTTCAACCCTAAATATGTCTTTAGGTAATATCATATTACATGACTGCAACATTACCCAGGTCCTAAAACACAGGAGCAGCCAGCCATCTGTATTTCTCCTGACAGTGAAATGAAACCCAATCTGATGTGTGGTTTGAGGGTTTGCACAACTCACAAGCTGCTTTCAGCAAATTACGTATTTCTTGGCTTTCTTCAAAAATGCAAAACCAACCTTATTACTGCAAGTAATGACACGGCTTAAAACAGTTTTGGTTGTTCATGCCTTAGCAAGGTAACTATATATGCAAATATAAATAACTGCAAGCATTTTGGAAGAAGGGTATACTGAAATTATTATATTAGCCCTTTTAAGGTGTAAAACTGATGTTCCCATATGTTTTTTCATTGGTATTTGGTCAAAGCTAAATCACTTGTTTATATGTAGGCAGCATCATAGGGTGTACAATACTATATAGATAAGGTTTCCCTCCTTATCTGGGGTGTTTGTGTCCTGTTTCACTTTTTGAGCAAACTGCAACCTACAAGTTTAAGAAAGCTTGTTGTTTATCTGCAGCTAACATTAAAAATGATGAGTGTTTTTACACTGCTGGATTCTAAGGGAAATATTGTCTGCTTTCATTAGTCAGGAAACAACATAATGGCATTTTTCCACCATTATCAATATTCTACAAGAATAGAATCAGTCTCTTTTGCACCCAAAAGTAAAAAAAAAAAAAAAAAAAAAAAAAGTAAAGCATGTGTTGCTTCCATTCTCATGGTGGCATGTATTCTTATGTGGTCATTGCCTCTGACAACTCAAAGCTGGTCATGAGTAGATTGTGATAACCTCTCGCCCTCCTCCTCTAACCAACATCACTCTTTCCAAACCTTCTGTCAGCACTTCCAGAAACTCCATATCTGAGCAACAAATTAAGGAGTTTAAACCAAAAGGATAGGATTTCCACACATTTTGTTCTTATTGAAGCCTCAGGTGGTTTTGCTGATTGAAATCACAAAGGATACAGTTTTCATCTCCATCTGTATTGCGTGGTGGGCCTGGCATGTTAAGCAGCACTAATCGAGCATCGTGAGACCTGTTAACTATTACTTCGTTAAGCTTCACAGCTGTATGCATTCGGCGTACATTGGACTGATCCCTGAGAAGCAGCGAGGGGGAGATTTATTAGTGCAACAATAAAACTGGTGAGATAATTAAATTCAGGAAAAAAAAACAACACCATAAAAAAGAAAAAAGTGCAATGAGTTGTCAGTAAATGCCTGAGATGTTTGTAAATAGAAATTGCTTACGGTTTGAGGCTCATGAGTTCTCGGAAGTTCTCAGGAGCATTGTTTCTGTTTCGCCTTTCAGCCTCGCACTTCTCTTTAGTCCACGTCATCTGGACCTTCTCTGGAGGAAGCTCCATCACATCCTCCTCCTCGTCCGAGTACAGACTGCCCATACGCACCAATGAATGTCTGTCTTTAACCAGCTGGGCCTGGAAGTGCCATGGGAACATTATAAATATAAATTTGAACTAAATTGTAGAAGTCTATCTCTTCCTCTTTCAGATCTTCTCCCAACATACCTCTCTTTGTCTTTCTGCACTGGATAGCCTCATTTGCCGTAACATCTGGGATCTCTGCTCCATCATTAGTGTTCTCTCATAAGTGTAAGCTGAGATGTCACTGTCATGCTGTAATCCCATTTTAAAAACATAAGATTGTAAAAATTATATTAGAAACAATTATATATAATTAGAATTATATAGAATTATATGTAGCAAAACTTTTATATGCCTTGAATTTCTTTTCATATTTTTCCTTATAGCGTTTTTAATGTTTTTTTTTTTTTTGAAGTAACTGAAATGGAAGTGAAGCAATTCAAAGTTTTATACTTTTTTTTTTTTTATAATTGCTGAACTAGCTCGCACAACAAACAACAAACTTCAGAAAAATCTAAAGCAGGGCTGAATAATGTAAAAAAAATAAATCCATCAACAAAAATGGAGGAAAAATGTAACAGCGTTAAACATGCAGATCTGGTGAAGAGATAAGAGAATCGCTTGGAAAAGAAACTTCTAGGAATCTTCACATATCCAGTGTTCAGTTGGAAGAATGCATTGTGCACTCAAATATTCTGTTAGGACCCCTCAGTTAAAGTCTAGACCTAAATCCAAAGAAAACTATCTGGTTTGTCTTTAGATCTGTTTTCAGTCTGACAAAGCCTTAATTAAGAAGAATGATCAAACCTTCAGTTTCTGTACAGTATGTGGTAAACATCCTTCAAAAGACTCTCAGCCATAAATAGAAAATAATTTAAGAATTACAATCTGAGCTTCAGACTGGTCAGATTTGTATTTAACGATAATTTCTAAAGTCAGTTTTCTACGTATACACCTAACATCTGTATGCCATTCTGTTGTTGTCTATCACATAAAATAAAATAAATATAGATTGCTTATTGTGATATGAAAAAAAATTTATGAATCTGTATGAACAAGGCATTTTCAAGGCATTGCCTCTTACATTGATAGATTCAAGATGTAGATGGGACCCGTCTGTTTTCTACAACTGCTTTCAGATATATTGCAACATGTACCCAGCAGGATGACATTTGCATATTTTAGTAATCTTACTTTATTGATGTGCTCCTTTTTTAATCTTGCTGAGAAAAACTACTATAGTTCTCGTATCATGCATATGCTGTTCTGTTTCATTTCAGTTACTATGCCAAGAATGTCTAAAGTGCTGTTTTCCTTATCAGTAAATGTTTTTAATTTGGCTGCATTTGACCACAAATGAGTTGGTGTGAAGAGCCCTCACCATCTCCACCACCTCAACCTCCGCCTCTATTCGCAGCTGATATAAGAATGTGGCCAGATCTTTCTTCATCTGAATGCTGTTGTCATCCATCTGGGCGACGGTGAAGATGCGCATCTTACATTTTCTCCACACCTAAAATCAAATGCCATATCAGCACAGTGTCTTATCAGTGCATTGAATAAGTGTTTTATGCACATAAATAACTAGTAAAATTGGAAATCAATGCAAGTAGTAATCTCTGTTTATTGACCTTGTGCTGTTTGAGCAAGAAAGGAAGCAGCATCAGCATTCCTCCATCGTGGACAATCCACCACACATCAATGTTCCCATCTGTGAAGCGTTCGTGGTTGCTTGGATAAAATGATACATTTTTGGGGACCATCAGGGCCAGGTGGGCAGCTGTTGTGCAGCGGACTGTGTCTGGAGCAGAGAAGACAACAAACTGGATGTGCAATTTAAATATGTCATTACCATTACTGCATACAGGGCAGCATATTCTCTGCCATGTCCGACCCCATAGAGAAGTTTATCATTAAATGGCAAAGATGCATCATAGTTGGTGTTGTAGAAATCAGGAATGGTTTACTGGCTGGAAACCGTGGGAATCTGCCCTAGACATGTTTTCGATTTTATTCAATCTTGTTTTCATTGGCTTTGTGGTGAACACATGTATTTATTTTACTCTTAGTTGACCAATCTTTATGATAATATAAGAATAAAAAAATTTAATTGTTTTTGATGACTTTTTATTAAAAAAATATACATTATACATAAATAAAGTGTTCCTTCCCATTGTTGACTCTGTCAAACCTAAACAAGCTCCAGCTAAACACCCCACCAAATTGTGTATAACAAATGGAAAAAAAAGTCCACTGGGAATTTATAACAGCATTTAATATAGCCTAGAGGACCCAGGAGGAGGAATTAGAGCAAATATTTTTTTTCTTTGTTTATAGTCTTTTACGTTCCCAAGATTTGATAATACATTGTTTGCGTCATAAGACCCCAGTAGACCACAACGTAAATGAACAGCAGGTATAGCAACTGATAAAGGAAAAACAGTGAACTCCAGTTTCAATTGTCAAATTGTGGGAAAACTCTTACTGATAAAAGTCTTCCAGGCTCGAGGGTCTTCACTTTGCCTCCAGCCATAGGGCCATCCCATTACAACAGTGTTGTGTTTCATCCCACCCAGACCGCAGGACTGAATCAGATGAGCAACGCCTTCCCGTACTTTAGAGGCCACAACAACTTGGCAGAAACCTTTGACGCGCTCAATCTCCATCATGTTCTTTATGGCCTAGAAAGAGTGTTGCACCCAGATAAAATATTTACTTATCCTACACATTATAATTGATAGCTCAAGATCGTATCTAATCTTGCAAATTTTGTAATGTATACTTATTAAAACTTGCAGAAACTATCACAAAAAATAATTTAAGGTCGCTTATGATTTACATTAATCTATATACCTTATCCTAAGTAAAATGGCTTAATAAAGAACAAATGGTCTAATATGTGCAGGCTGCAAAATAATTGCCATAGGCAAAATAATAAACAAGAAAAAACTATATTAAAAAAAAGTCATATAAAAGTAGACTGTAAACTGCAATTATTTGCACCATTCCTAAAGAGCTGCAATGTATAAACTAGATCACTAAACATATTTCTTTCGCTTTAACTGTACCTGTTCAGCCGCTTGCATTTCACCATAGCTGTCCAGGAAGTTGCCCTGGATCACCGAGCCAACAATGGTCAGTCCCTTACCCGCCTTAAGTTGTGAGGCAAAGGTGAGCATTCGTGGATATTTCACATGAAGGTCTTCATCTAGCTTTAACAGCACCAACAACTGAGGCCTGGAAAGTAGAAATGACAAATAGTTAGATCTAATGAAAGACAGGGTTTTTTTCTAACTACCGATGATACAACTTACAACCACAATTCCCAGAAAAAAACAGTTACAAATGATTACTCTAGTGCCGACTTTCAGTAGGAAAGTATTATAGGCCTGGGCTCATTTGTTCATCTCTTTCTTAACTTGAACAGATGAAAGTAATCTCGCCCAATAGCATAGTTAAAGAATGTCTAATCTCTGCTCAATAGTGTATTTATTCAGCGTACCAAAATACTTGAATCCCTCCACTCAACGGGGCTGGAATTTGGAGGGAAGGCCATTTGGCTAGCTTTGGGCCTGAAGGGGAACTTTTAAACCACTACTACTGTAGATGTAAACAATCGAGGTTCAGAGAGGAAAAAAAAGCCTGCATAGTTTTTCTTTCTCCATTCACTTAACTTGGTGATTGTCCCCTGTCTATTTGGTTTAGCAAATGCTTAAGACTTACCAGTTTATCGACTTTTTACTTTTCCCAGCTTTCAAGCACGCAAAAAGCAAGCCAGTTATGTTACTGGTTGAGGAAAACTGACTCTGTGAGGTGTCGGGCACATGGCACGTTTACTCATTGAAACAGTTTTGTAAAAATAGTTTTTTTTACAGCATGCCCCATATATTTTGCATAGAGAATGACTCGAGCTCTGTGTGGTTCCAGTAAGTTAATTTCACTAAACTTGCACTTTCTATTCATCTATACCTGCTCAAGGTACATCTGCACCAGAACCACATTCCCGTACCTGCACTCAAACACTCATGCATTCATACATTGACAAACATCAGTAACCAACTGTGAATAATTGCTTGCTCTGATACTACTACATGTTGATGCCAGTACATCAACGTGTGGTAGGAGGTTTATCAGGTTATTTTAAGTGCAGGATGTGTCCAATGTGTTTTAAAAGTCAGATGCTATTCAAATGTGCCTCTCAATTCTCAATAACACTTATTCACATTTTCAATATATATAGACAAGCAAAATAAAACTACAATATAGCTTGTGTCAGAGGTTAGTCATGAGAACTATCTGATACTCATGTTCCCCCTAAAAGTGAAAACAGGCTGAGCAACCTTTTTCATTTTAAAACATAGACAAAGAAATAAATATGCATTAATGCTGTTTATTGTTATACCTCCAGTTCTTGGTGTGAGGAGGTCCAGCTTCTAGCCTCAATAAGGCATAACGTGCAGCACTTAGAGACAGTCCTCTTATTCCATCTCCCCATTCCTTTTCTGCCCTAATTAAAGAAATTATAAAAATACAGAAAGGGTCATTATTTTTTTGATGGGCATACTTGAGTTATACAGTCAAACAGAAAGAAACACATGTTCTAACAAAAAACAAAGCTGAAATCAATGTATTAGAAGAGAATCATTGTAGCGGAACATCAAGTTAATACATACCCTTGGTATTCAATGTATTTGTAGATCATTCCTGCAATACCCATGGCCGCTATGGCATAGTACCAAGAGGATATGAACATCAGAGCGAGACACATACTCATGCCAAGGAATGATAAAGCCCTGCCAGTGTGATGCATATTTGGTTACAAATTTAGTAAGAACACCAGAGGGAAGAAAACAGCAACACAATGGTATTAACCCAAAGTTATAGTTTTTCATGGGTTTCATTTACAGAAGGAAATATGTGTCACAAAGAGAAAAACATGATCAAATCTACTAACCAATGGTAATATTTAAACCTCGGCCTCCAGTTGGGTGTCCGTAGGAGGGTTTGTACAGCGCAAGCTAAGTTTACAAAGAGGTAGCACATCAAGAAGAACCTGTTGAAAAATAAAATCTGATCAAAATGAAACATCTAGAGTAGGAAATGTACTGGTGATTCTTAATAAATTAGAAAACATCTGGAAGGTATTTAGCAATGACCATATGGGGTCAACCCTTAAATGATCATTGCTTTCAAGACAAGTGTCAAGACAAAAGTCTACTTTATGCTCGCATACATATGTCACAACAAAAATAGAACATGACAGCATTGTAATATTAGAATTTTCTATTATTGTTCATTTTGATCAAATTATCAAAATTAAATAAAACATTTGATGATGTTCTTATTTATTAAGATGTTTAAGGTTAACAGAAAAATATAGTTCATGACTGGCCTTTTTTTTTTTTCTAAATGTCAGTATGTAATATGATATGTTGTGTATGATATGTCCTTACATTGACAAAATAGGAGCAACCATATCTAGTGAGGCAATAAGTATCCCGAGCTCAGCTATGAGGCCAGTTAGCAGCAGAGCCCATGTTGGCTCTCCATTAGCCTTTCCATGACCGAATACCTGGGGAAAAAAATCCACAATATGTTGTGCAGCAATGCAAATGATTTCCCGCTTGCTTCTTTACCATATTTAAATACACTTTCAGATAACCTTTTCCCAATGCAAATATGTGTACACAACACTCGGAAGACATAGGCTTTGGGTTTTTTAAGCAGAAAGTCAAATAGAAAGTAACTAATTTCCTTACCCTCAGAAAGGGAATAATGTTGTCCTTGGCAATAGCTTGTAAAAGCCGTGGAGCTCCAGTTAGGGACTGCAGGCCTGCACCAACAGTAGAGAAGAAGGAGCCAATGACTATAACCCATGGAGATGGCCAGGAGAGAGTACCAACAACAAGGTTCTGTTGAACAGCAATTCCAAATCTGCAATAAAGTTGCCGTTGCACATGATTAGCAATATTGATCAAGTAAACATTCGCACAAATGGCTACATCCTTAATTGTAAGCAGTTATTCAAGGAAATAAGCTTACTTGTCTCTCAGGACCACACCCTCTATGCAGGACCCAAACAGGACCACAGAACTTAAATCTAGAAAGTGTGGTCAAGGAGGTTTCTCATAAGTTGGCAAATACTGTACATGTACTGAAATAGCTATAATAAAAAGTGCCTTTTTATAGTATCTTTAAGGTACAAAATTGATTATCTATCAAAAAGAAAGGATACAAACAAGGGAAGTAGTCGTTATGGCTAAAATTGTTCCAACAGGAATGGACTTCTGAGCATCCTTGAGATCACCAGATCTGTTAGAGCCTGCCATGATACCTGTCAAAAGAGAACAACCCATTTTATTTTGTTGCTGTTATTGATGTAACATTATGCCCCCTACTGGCTGATTCCAACACTCATGTTTCTACTCATTGAAAACATAATAAAGGATTTCATAATAAATCATTTCTAGCCATTTTTTTTCCAGTTATAACATATGTGATGTAGTGTAAACACCATAATTGTTTCTAACCTGTGGCAGATGGCAAGAAGATGCCCACCAAAAGCGTAAAGGATGTAGCAATGTCTGCTGAGACATAGTTGATGAAGTTCTCTACGGGACTGTGGGCATCCACTGACTGCCACCCTGCTTTTTCTAAGATCTCGCCTTTCTGCAGGTAGGTGCTCCAAAGGTTTTCTATCACAACAAAAATATACATTAAAATAGGCTCATATGAGATCAACATAAAATAAGTTGATAGGTGCTTTCATACAAGAAGAATTAAATAACAAATAGATGAAAGTAATATGTTATAATTCAACAATACATTAATATAAACACTTAATTTAGTTATATTTATATTGTAGTTTTAAGTATATAAACTTTCCTGTAAACATGATTTACAACACAAAAAAATCAAAAACTAATAAGAAAATGGTGTAAAAGCTTGCAAATTAGTAAGAAATAATAAAAAACTAATAAAAAATGAAAGGCATGTCAAAACTAATACATTAAACATTTTAAAGGTGACATTTATTAGAATATCGATCAAGGAAAAGTAAGGCTTTAACAAAAAGGTATATTTTAACTTTAGTTTTAGAAAAACCTTAAACGGCAACATTTTGGGTGACTGGCAGAAAACTAAAGGCTTTGCCACCAGTTTTGGACCAGAAAATAATCTCAGTAATTAAGATCTTGACATCCTTAGTCCAGAGCTGCATGTTGCCTTAAAGCAAGATCCTTGGTTTGGTTCCCAGCCCAGGGTCTTTCTACATGGAGTTTGCATGTTCTCCTGTTTATGTGTGGGTTCTCTCCGGGGACTCTGGTTTCTTCCAGCAGTCCAAAAGCAGCTTAACTGGTGTCTCTAAATTGCTCTTGTGTATGTGTGTGTGTGTTTCTGTATGGTTGTATGTATTTGACCTCTAATTGCATTTTTTTTAACCAAAAACAACACTAAAACGGAAAAAACGAAGCTGTTAACACAAATGCTGCAGTCATTAACATTCAGCAAAAATCACACCAGAACGGTCTAGACTTCATCTCCTATAAACAAGCTTGTAACAATTCTTTAAAGGTGTTTTTGTTAGTTTATACATGTAGCTGCATATCATCAGTGAATTGAGAAAACAGTGAAAATGTTAAAGTTAGATTTACCTCTGATAATTCCACTGCCCAGTCCAGGAATACCCTCTATCTCTGTAACATTATTCTGGACAAAGTATTCATCACATTGAGTACTGCTCAGGTTCCCACCACCACAGAACCGATTCCACAGCTGAGTTGGCACTGTGGTGTTCCCCTGTATCACAGATTTAGCACATGGATCTAAGGCATCCCTCACCAAAGTCCTGTTGCCCAACATGCATATCCTGCAGCAATAAAACACATAAAGGGTAATCAGTTACAGATGTGAAAGGCTAAAAGAAAAAAAAAAAAAAAACAGAAAAACATTGATGCAAAAATACCTACAGTAAATGTTCTTACTAATGCATGGTGTTAAGCTAAAGGAGGACAAAAATGCATGCATAACTTTTCTTATTACAAATCAGTTCTACATCAATTTCCCAAGCCTCCTCCTCAGAGACATGTTTATTTTTGGAACACTTACGGAAATTTCGGCGGATGAGTCAAAGATTTGATTCCCCCAGCATAGATGGAAACAATTGAGATAATAACACAGGCCAGGAAAAGGGAAGCCAACTTGTTGACATATTTGACTCCCACGAAGACCACCACAGCCATCAGGCTGAGGCAGAGAGTGCCGTACACCCGCATGTTGTTCAGCAAGGCACTGTCACGACCAAGGTGATCAGCAGAGTGAAAAATAGCCGCTTGAGGGACCATATATTTCTGAAGACAAAAATAAAAAAAAACAAGGTTTTTCAATATGTTATCACAAAAATCCTTTTAGATTTCCATATGTTTTTATTGGCACACGTTCCTCATCTTTACACTGTTGTTCGTTTGCACACCTGTTTGTTGTTAAAGCCAGATGAAGTCAATCACTTAGTCAAAGCTATTAAGAAATTAAGACAGCGACTATATATTTTCCCAAATTAAACAGACAGAGATACAGATGCAGTGTTAGACTCTTTTTAACTACTCTGGACCACATTATCCCTAAGAATTACAATGAAAAATAATCTAATCAGGTTGAAGCAATTATTTTTTATCAAAATCTTTCATCTTGAATCAGCAAATCTTTTAACATCACATTCAAAAGTAATACAGAAAGGCTAGTCTATACATGCATTTCGTCTAGGCCTTATTCTTACCCATTATATATTATTATTATTTTTTTTTTAATCCAGAAATCTGATAGCATTTAGCAGAAGAAATAATTTTTTTCCAATGTAACTTCTTGGCAGTAACTTGCAGAAAATCCAAGAATGTATTTATCTCCTTATGAAAAAGCTTTTAGTGACCAAAACCACTTGTATCTTATACTGTATATCATGTAGTTATAGATGATGGCAGTAAACAACTCTCTAGCCACATATTCAATTTTGTGGAGAGGTTTTAAAAGTAGAAACGGAAGCAATTTCCATTTTGGATATGCTTCGAACAAATACCCATCTGGTAAAGGGCTTCTTTAAGGGAAATTTGATCAAAATAACCCCCGGTTCTAAGCCATTCCCTTTATCTTGTTGTTGACTAAGATACTTTGCCATCTACACATATTATTTTAATAGTTTTTTCTTCATATTAACCTTATTTCTTGTTCTCTAAATGCTATCAGGGAACTTAGCTGCCATGTTGTCCTTTGAACTTAATTTTCTTTTACTGATACTATAAAGTATGTTTTTATTCATGAGAATACATTCTGAACATTCTCTATCAGAAATAATGCTACCGAAAATGTATGTCTAAAATATAATACCACATATGGTCATCTTTATGTAGTGTAATCTTGAAGAAACAATAACAGAATGTTTTAATCATATCTTCGAATGAAAAATTTGTAAAAAAAAAATTATAGGAATGAATGATATTTTAACCAACTAACCAAGAAGATTTCAATGGCTCCAAGGATGTACATAGCAGAGGCAAAGGTGGTGCCCAAGTAGAAGCACAGCCCCACAGCTCCTCCAAACTCAGGGCCAAGTGAGCGGGAGATCATGAAATACGCTCCTCCAGCTAAGAAAGAGAAGAACAGCTGTCACACATTAAACATAGTTTGAAGTTTTCAAATGTTGCTTATTAGTTAGGGCACAAGATATGCTGTACTCCCACCATAAAGGAAATAGATTGAGAATGGCTGCCTTCAGTGTTTTACCTGGAACAACACCGTTAGTTGCTATAGCACTCATTGATATGGCTGTTAGCATCGTCTGTAAAGGAAAGGAGAAATTATTATATTAGAGCATATTTTTACATACTTTGTTGCAATTACAATTCACAATAGTTTTCTAAAGCAGATGCATAATTTTAGGACTCTGTTTTTCTTTGCACGCTTACTAGTTTAAAATACTCTCATATCTGTGATGTTATGATATCTGATGATGTGATAAAAACAATTTGTTCATTATACCACTAGTTCTTTATAGGGGCAATAAGCAATAACTCTTTATTTTAGATAGCAAAAATAGTGATGTGAAAAACTAAAACTATGATGGGATGTCATCCAGTATTTCTCTGAGTTGTTTTTTTGCCTTATTTTTCCAAACCAGGCCCCACCCTAAGTGCATATACAGCCATGTAATTAGCTGTCACTCATGGTTTAAACCCTCCCTGATCAGAGAGAGCACTGTATTATAGGAGAAAAATGGCTGAGAGCGCAAGACATTTTCTTGCCAACACCACTATAAAATGAGTTACTTAATCCTTCACTAAACCTGTTCCTCCAAAAGGTAAATCTGATTTGCTGTACCCTTTACCCCAAAGGCTGAAAAGGGGAAGGGAGTGGGGTTACAGCTGGAGTGGAGTTACAAAGAGGCGTCGCTTGAAAATCATCTTGTTTTGGTTTATAAACAGTGCTTAACGGCCCGCCTAGAGTTGAATTTTTGCTTATTGCTTCTTTGATTCTGTTAAAATAACAGGATAGTTTTTTTTTCATGACACTGATTCTATTAGACCCTTTGTATTTTAACCTATGTTTAAAATAAAATTTAAAAAAGTGAAATAATGAAGCTATTTAAGTAACTTAGCATGACATGCACTGTAAGGAGGCATATTTAATGTCGCAAACTAGTAAACCTAATTAAACATCAAGGGCAATAAAACACACTTTATTATAAGTTATTACCTTTGATCAGGCAGCGCAAAATATTATATAAAGACCACTGAAAACATTTCTTCCCCTAGGCCGTGTCTCTGATGAACAATCAAAGGGCCTAACTAGTCGACAATAGTCATGTTTGCACCAATTTATTATTGTCTTTCCCTTTTTAACAACACTGTACATATAAATTGATATTTATTTAAAAGCAAGCTTTTATTTCCCACAAAATTCATATTGTGTCTAAGCTGCCTGTCAGCAAAATGGAACCAACGGCATGTTTCTTAGGCATTAAAGATAATTGTCTTTCTGAATAATTGCTATACTTTTTTAATATTATGATTTTTATTCAATAGTTTTAGAGTAAAAGACAACTTTTATTACTACTACCATGTGGACAGAATGCATGTTTATACTAACACATGAGCAGCACATGAGGACAATCAGAATGGACTGTATGATGCCGGCCATCCCCACAATCCAGGTTAGTCGAAGGAAGAGAATGACCCCAAAGATGTTCTGGAGGCACGGCAGGTAGACGCCCATCAGAGTACCCATGTTGGGAGACTAGCAGGGAGACAGAGGGAGGGTAGGGTGTGATGGAGTGTTGAGCATGACATTTCAGGAAACAAGCGGTGATCATTAATATTGATTGATGTACTTTTTAAAGGTCATTCAATCATGTTATCAGCACTTACCATGTTTTTAGGTCTTACATGGACCTAGTCTAACAACAGGCTGCCCTGTTTCAAAAGCAATCTATCAACAAGCCTTAATAACTAAGATGAGAAAGCACAGAATAAGCCAACAGCACGGTATAGTGTTTCCTAGCCAAAAAGGACTGCCTGTACACACAATGCAAAACTAAAACTGACTTTCTAACTGACCTTGGGGGTTTTTCTGAGTGAGGCCTCAGCACTTTCTTCTTCCTCATGCTCCTTTGCACCCTGCGTGATACTGGTGTAGTTGACCAGTCGGCTAAGCAGAGAGGAAACCTTCGGCCGGATGTCAAGCTCCTCCTGAAAAAGGAAATTATCTGAAGTAGATTTGAGTTTATCACATAAAGAATGAAATACAGTAAAATGAGCTGACCTCAAATAGAGCCAGGTTTCTATCATAGTAGTCATTCTTTCTGCCAGTGGAATCAGCGCTGCTAAGGAAAGGGCTGTCTTCTTTATGATTCCCATGTCCTGTTAGAGGATATGATAAAGGTGAAACATTATGCAGAATTTTTTAGTCCAATGTTTAAAGGTATGATCTCTCTGCTTTTTTCTCAAAGTAGCTTTATCTAGTCTGTTCCTGTTTGGCTGTAACACCTTCATGGAGAAAAATATCAGCTGTGCTGCTACCATTAAACCATTTGTTTAAAGATGATGGAGCTTGGCCTGTTTTTCAGTGTAGTCCTGTTTCTCTGACTGTGACAAACTGTATGTGCTCCTCTGACATGGTAGCTGGCGGAGAGCCTGTCTGCCTGGCTGTGTGTTTCCTGGGCGGGGCCGCCTGTGTAGCTGGTTGAGGGTTGTGTTTTGTATCTCTGCTTCCTTTTCAATGTCTGCCTCTATCTCCTTGAACCCCAGTCGGACTCTGCAGATGGCCGCTCACACTGAGCCTGGTTGTGCTGGAGGTTTCTTCCTGTCAAAAGGAATTTTTCCTCTCCACTGTTGCTACAAGCATGCTTGGTGTGAAGGATTTTCTTTGAGTTAATGACTCGATGCAATCAACTGGTTTACCTTAGATAGAAAACTTTGAACCTATTTGAATGTATGATCTGGTTGAATCGCCCCGTAAAGTGCCTTAAGATTATGTAAATGTTAATTGGATTACGATTATGTAAATTGGAGCTATATAAATAAACTGAGTTGAATTGAACATTTGGAGTAGAAAAAAATAATTTCTTTAAAGAAAATAAAAATGCAATTCGAGATCAATTTTGGCATCTAGCGTGCAACAAGTAAAACTGAACAAAAGTTAATCAGTATTTTAAAAGCAGCATAAGTAGTCATAGGTTGGCGTACTACATAGAAGAAAAGGTACTTTGACATTTCAAGCCAAAGGAGAGAATCGCCTGTTATGGGTCTACAAAAATTAAATCAATCAAAACATTTACATATTTACCACTTCTGCATTTGTTAAAACCAAAAGTTTCACATTTTAACCACAGTTGTACTATGTACTTTTGCCTTGCATGCTAAAAGACATATGTCTTTAAATTGTCTTCTTTGTTTTTATCCTAAAGTAGACAACCAATTAAAAGAAAATAAATTTTGCAATTTTGCTTTGAAAAGATGAGTTGGGGAACAAAAAAGAAAGACTTAGCTACTTTGTTTCTTAATCTAAAAGAATTGCAAAAGACAATGAATATTCACATAATGGTCTGTTACTGGTAAAAGATGTATTTAGAAAACAATGGCATTACTATGATAAATTCAAAGAGAAAGAATAAACTGAAAAAAAACATTATGCTTGGTTAGTAATTAAAATGGAACGCAACTTTTTTAACGTTCATTTTTTCCAGCTTTTAACTGTCACTGGCGAATGTAATTGAAAGATCTTAACAATGTCCATTAAGCAGAAACACAATTCACATGGTGAAATGGGAAAAAAGACCAATAGCATTACACGCCAACAAGCAAAGTCCAGGTGATAAACAGTCAACTAATTAGATTTCACTTTCATTTATTTTTCTTTCTGAGGAAAGAATCAAACAGAGATAAGCACCACTGCTGGGCCAATTATTGTACACAAAGCAGTACGACAAACTTGAACCTCACACAGTCACACTCTCAAGCATGCACGAACCTCATTACCAAGAAATTACCTAACCCCGAGTTATTAGAGCATGTAAACTTTAACAGGCTGTGTCTTGAAGCCTAAAATAATTCTGCGACTGAAAGCTGGCCCACTTACCATGGGGACATAAAACAGAAAAAGTATTCTCTACTGAGCTGCATGACCTTCAAGGTAGGTCCTCACTCACCTGAGCTCTGAATCTCACTGCTGCCAGTAATGCTGTTGGTAAGCATAGTTAGGTGCTGTGAGTAGAGTGTAAGAGAGCACCCTGTGCTCTAGCCAGTGGAGCAGTCGATTCCTATCCAGGACACCCGGTCACCCATGATATAAACTCATTCATGGGCCTGATATAACACATGTTGTACAGACAAGGGGGGTTAGAGATGCAGTCTGATTCACATTAATGGCCAGGCACAGAAACACTTAATTATTAGTGTATTATTACTTTGTTCTTTACACCATGACTGAAAGATTTCTTCCAAATGTTTGTCTGTCGTTTGTGTGTGTGTGTGTGTGTGTGTGTAGGCAGTTTTAAAAAACAGCTGTGTCCCTCTATGCTGTGTTCTTCTCTTCTGAGACTGGCATAGACTGTACTTTGCTTAAAAAGTTAGTTAACTTTATTAATTTTTGTTATTTTTCATAGTAGCTTTGGATGTATACCTGTGGGCTTTTTAATTGATTTGTTGTTAGCGTAAAAAAATGTCCCCACGCTGAGACAAAAAAAATAAAAATATCTAAAAGAATGGCAATTTTATGTAAAGATAAGGTACTTTTTGTTTGCATAAAATAAAGATAGATTTTTCTCCTTACAACACATTACTAAATTTCTGATTATACTCTTAACATATGCATGCAGACAGTAGCAGGTACACAAACATAGGGACTGTTAAAATGTCATTGCAGTAACCCCAAATGTCGGGTTATGGTCCTTGCTCCTGTGACCTAGAGTCTATAAACAGACATTCTCAGACATGCACTGACTAACCACCAAAGAGATCAGGCTAAACAATGTTGCATCAGCATAATCTATCAGGCAGTTTCTTCAGAATCTAATGTCTGTCAAATGAAATCAAAGTAGACCTGCTCTTATCTGTGAGAACAAACCAGATTTTCTGGCCTATCCAAGTCAAGCTCCATTTTGCCAGGCAGTGAATGAAGAGCCTACACCAGGCCCTTCGGATCCTTTTTACAAAATAAAATGCTGTAGCCTCCTTCTGTTTAACCACACCTGATTTGGGGGTGATTTAAGTGTTGTCCCATTGGTTCCCTTATTGTTTAATTCATTAACACCTGAAAGCTGGCATTGATTAACATCTACTGCTTTACTGACCACAACAACATTTCAGAAGTTTAACTGACTTTTTTTGATAACTCCAGTCCAAAAAATGGTGGTGTAAGAAACACAGGAAAACTTAAGGAGCATCCTTCTCACATTGCTTCTAGAATTCTGCAGGGGGGAGATATTCTCACTGATGCAAGGCTGGCAGGCAAACTGAGGATGGCTGAGGACAAACCTCTCAAGTTTCTTCATCAGATGTGATGTCAGTGCTTCAATAACTTGGATCCTGCTCATGTGGTCTCCCAAAATACATTTTGGAAGAAAGAAAGTAAAAAATTTTGTCCAAAAAAAAAAAATTAAGTGCCATAGCCTGTTCAAGTAAAATCTAAAATAGAAGAACACACAGCACGTCTGAAAAATAGCTCAAATGAAAGGTACTGAACAAAAGGTACTGAAATAAACTGCCTACTTGTGAAGGACAAAAAGTCAAAATTCTGTCATTTGACCAGTTACAATGTTGCACTAAGCGCAAGTGCAAAATTGCACAGTAAATATAAAAGTACGCAATGTCAATGTTTAATGTAGGACTAAAATGCAAACACTTATTTATATCATTCATTCTCATAATACCAGGAAGGTTTAAGGACACATCAAACATTTTCATCACAGGTTGAGTTCCAGAGGTACTGAATATCTTACTTCTGCATAGATCTGCTTTGTAAAATATATATAAAAAATAGGACTTTTACTTTGTAGAGTACAGTATGTTTTGGTCTTATTCTAAAACATCATCATAGTTGAGAGTCATCTTTCAGGACTTCCTTAGTCCTGTCTTTTAAGGACTGGTTTATTTTCATTAGGAATCTAGGACCTACTTGTAGTGTATAATATTTTACTGCTATTATGCACAAAATCTGTACATTTACTAAAATCTAGAATCCATAAATTGAAAGGGCTTGAGAAGGCTATAACATAAAGAAAATATTCATATTTATCTCTTAGAGTTTCTCAAGATCCAATTTCTATTTTACATGAAGTGCATGGTACTGTCTACAAAGCACACGGTTATACTGCCATCTTGTGTAAATTTAATGTATTTCATATCAGAAAAGGAGCATCACCCTCCTGTTCAGAAACACGTGCAAATGAATAAAACATAAATTATAGGAAGAATAACCAATGGATAATATATTGCAGATCCTCTCTAGCTCTGCATTCTGTCCAGCCAGTTTTTCTTAAAAAAAAAAACGGTACTGTCCAATACTGAAAAACATGGTACGTGACTAGCCTTATGTTGTAGGGGCTAAGGAGAGAGCAGGGTTCTCAAGCTAATGACACACATTACTGGTCTAATTGGAAATATTAAATGGCCTGTAAAGAGCATAAGAGTCATGCTGTGTGCACAGAGCAGTCAGTTCTACTCAACGTGTGCCTACTGTACATGTTTTTCAACATGAGCACAAAATATTTAACAACCCCATCAAGGAGATCAAACAGTAGCACATTTGCAGAATTGTCTCTACAGAGGTAGGACTTAATCACTATTTAGTTTTAAGTTTGCACGTATACTGGCTTCTTAGGTGAGGATTTCAAGATCTCACAAAAAAAATACTTGTTCACCAGTTGAAAGCATCGAAAGCCATTTACTATCAGTGCTTTAAGGATAAAAGAAAATAATATTAGCCTTAAAAGCATTACAAAAATTTTACTCCAACCATTTGGGTGTGCTTCTAAAGAAGGAGAAAAGTTTGGGGTTTTAACAGGTTCAACATATTTCTCTTGCTGCTTTTGGTTATAATCAGTCCTACATACAAAGATATTAATACCAAGTACAGATATTAAATTACATCTAGTTAAGCATTTGTTTAAAAAGGTAAAACGAACAAAAAAAAAAAAAAGAATATACAAACAACTATCTAAATTCATCTTAGAGAAAATCTTTGCTAAACTTTCTTACTATGGAGCATTTATTTCTTTTTAACAAAAATGGATAAAATGCAAAAGCCCAGAACAGTGTGTTGAAGGACAAAGCTAACCCACTATTATTAAATAGGGTCTGCAAATACATAAGCTGACATTTTTTACTTCATCTAAGGGTTGCTGATGCAAATTTTCTTTAGA